GGGAGGTAGGAGCCGAACGTAAAGCAGTGGAAAGGCAACCAGACAAACTGAGACATTCTGAGGAGACCTCAGGGCCAGGTCAGCGTCCTCAGGGGGAAGCAGGTTTTATGAGAAGGTTGCTTCCGTTGTCTGGGGAGCCCTGGAACCAGGAACTCTGCAGCCCCTGTCCCTAGGAACATGGTTTCCATCCCAGCACTACGGCGGCTCAGGCCAGTCTCAGAAACACCCCTTACTTGGCTTTTTCTTCCTGAGTCTCAGCCTGTGCCGCCGCCACCCATGGAAATTCAAGGCAAAACAGTCGTACGTCACGGACAGATCCTCCTCTCGCACAGCAGCAATCGTCAACTGGCTGCTCAGGCAGGTCAGCTGGTTGCTGGAACTAAGAGGGCCCTGGGTTACTTTCAACTGCGGCTGCCCGGGAGGCCAAGGCCCTGCTGTAACTTCAATGTGAAAATACCTGTGATTTTGCTCTTGCTCTGCCCAGATGCGTGCTCCACTCAGGTTCCCAACTTTGCTTCCATTGAGCTGCCACAGGACAGCAGCCAGGAGCTGTGAGCCCTTCCCGAAGCAGGCGGAGCACTTGACGCTGGCCCTTTGTCCTGGAGAAGCAGAGAATGTCACCAATAACACTAAATTCTGCAAATAATTTTAATGTGAAAAAAATTGCTGATCACCTAACGTGTGCTGTGAATTGCTGACTATTTCCCACCCTCCTTCAGACCTGAGAGCACGGGGCTGCCTCCCTGCAGATGAGAGCACGGGGCTGCCTCCCTGAAGATGAGAGCACGGGGCTGCCTTCCTGCACTGAGAGCACAAGGTTGCCTCCCTGCAGATGAGAGCACGGGGCTGCCTCCCTGCACCCAGAGCACGGGGCTGCCTCCCTGCACCCAGAGCACGGGGCTGCCTCCCTGCAGATGAGAGCACGGGGCTGCCTCCCTGCACTGAGAGCACGGGGCTCACGGGGCTGCCTCCCTGCACTGAGAGCACAAGGTTGCCTCCCTGCAGATGAGAGCACGGGGCTGCCTCCCTGCACTGAGAGCACGGGGCTCACGGGGCTGCCTCCCTGCACTGAAGGCGTGGGGACTAGGGAAGGCATCCAGTCCTTCCTTCCTGACTCTCTGGTTCTTGGGTTTAGAATTAGGAGTCTGGAGAGAAAAGTAGCTCAGTGTCTTCCCAAAGGGGACAAGGGTATAAACAAACAGAACACCAAGTGTTCTCGTGATCTGGTGTGACACAGTGAGGGAAATGTAGTGGAGAGTCCGTTGCGGGGAGCAGGCCTGCCCCCCCGCACTGATAAATGTGGCCCTGGGCTCTGTTAGAAGGAGCTCTATCATGCTCTCTGGCAGCGAAGGGGAGCGGCGTGGGGGATCTCACAGAGGAGTGACCCTTGAGCTTAGTGTTGGGAGACGAGAGGGAGGAACACCATGGGCAAAAGCAGGCAAGGATGCGGACATGCTGCCTTCAGGGCGACAGCATCCGCTGGTCAGTGCGATGGGAACGGGCCCGTGGGTTAATGCTGCAGCTGGGCCGGCATGTGGTAAAGACCAGGTCGTGAGCCACGTTCACATACAGACACTTTGAACTGTACCCCGCCTCTAGTGGGGGGCCAGGAAAGACGTAGATGGATAGCGTCAGAAAGTCTGGGTTCTCAGCCTTCTGTCATTGAATAGTCACAACTTCCGGCACGTCATTGATCCTGCCTGAGCCTAAGTACCCACACACATAAAGGGGAAACAGTTTCTACCTGGACAGAAGTGACAATGGCACATGAGTTACAAAGTGCCATAAAAGAGAAAATGCTGGGTATTGCTGGCCGTTGCTGTGCCTCACATTCCTGATATTCGCAAGCACCTGAGGCAGGTGTTTCCACATCTCATTTAACCCTCACGGTCCAGTGTGCTCCACTTGGGGGTTTCAGAGCAGGGGTCAGAGGCAAGGCCTTTCTCGGCAATATTCACAGTATTCTTAAGGGTTTCTTACCTATTTCCACGTCCTTTGTTGCGTTCTGCGGAGGTGCTATAATCTCTGGAGCAAACGAGAAGCCTTTCTCCTCTTAAGTCAAAGACAAGAAGGGAATGTAAAACGTTAGAACAGCATTTGGACAGTCCCTTCTGGGTTCATATGTTTTACGTTTCTATCCTGTTTCAGAACAACGTTTCTCAAATTTCCTGGCGATGGCAGCGCAGCGGACACAGACACAGACACACACAAGGAAACAAAACTTTAAAGTAGCTTCCTCTTACTGCCAATTGCGTTCTTCGATATTTTCTATTCTCTTTTATCTCATTAAGCAAATACTAGTCCAACCCATTAAATTAATTGTACAACCTCACAGTTGCTAGAAGACTACAATTCTAAGGGAAAGAAGAGTTTAAAAGGCCCATGAGAATGATAAACACCTAAGTGCACACTCCTGCTCCCAGGTTTCTACCGAGGCGGCCACCCTGTCGGGAAATGCTGCCGTCCTGCAGCCTGACGCCCAGGGGCCAGGGCGAGCGGCCCTCCGGACCGGCGCTGCATCCCCACGCCCTTGTTCCCGCTGATCTGAGGACTGTGATTAAGAGCCCCTGTGGTGTCCATGCGGATCAGTGGCAGGCACGCGTGGAGACGTGGTCTGCTGGCTCGTTTCACAGCAGTGGAGGCCGTATCTTTATGAAGCTTCTCACTCAACTTCTAATCCAGGGGGTTATATTAAAGATTAAGTACACTTTTTTTCTATTTACAGAATCTTCAACAACAAATTGGGAGAGAAAAGTTTATGTTGCTCTTCAAATAGTTGTACTGCCAGTCAAAAAGTTAAGTTAGCATTTAGATCACATTATCTTTGACAGCTTAAGTGAAAAAGGAAAGAACACGTGATTTTGGATTAGTAGCCTGTCTCCCTCTGACATGTCTTACGTCATAGTGGTCACAGCGGAGAAGGGGCCCGACATCGTGAAGCAGGAGGGTCGGGGCGGGGGGCAGGTCAGGAACATCGGCAAGCGGGCCCACATTCCTCCCACCGTATCTTCTGGCAAATATTCTATTTTGTTAAATTCCGTAGCTTACCTTCAACTCTGAATGACCTGGTTGTTGTCACATTGTAATTGACTCCATTTTCATTGTGCGTAAATTTGCATGTATAATCACCCGTGTCCTTGCTGGTCGCGTTGTCAATCAGTAAATATGTCCCCTGGATGTAGTACCTTGACCCTTGAAGAGCTTTACAGTTCTGAAAAACAAAATGCCATTCCACTTTCAGTAACTCTTCATTTCCATCTATTTTGTGTAATTTTCATTTATTTCCCCCAAATGGCCTTTACCTTAAACCACTCAACAGGTGCTGTCCAATTGTAGAGGTCAATGGTAGGACAGTATATTTGGGACTTTTTTTCTGATCCAGAGGTTGTTGAATATACCAGGTCATCTGGAATACTGCAGTCTGGTTGTTTTTTATATATAGTGACATTCACATATCCAGTCTTATTTAAGGTAGGACTATTGAAATAAATCAAACCATTTAAAAAAGTTACTTAGCATTATGAAATAACCTTATCCAAATCTAGTTTTTGCTAATTATTGTCTTTCTCCTTAAAACAATTGATACATATACTGTTTTTTTCTCATTTAAAAATAATCATTAAAATACTTTTTGTTACATTTAAGATAAAACATAACCCCTATGGCAGCCCTAAAACCGACTCCCTCATTCACCATTTCCTTATACACTATTTACTGAGAATTCACCATGTACCCTTCATGACATTAACATCACCTCACTTTAGTCCCACAGCGCTTTGAAGTGGGTTATATTAGTACATGTAGTTTACAGATGAGGAAATTGAGGGACAGAGAAGTAACTTGCAAGCATCCTGAAACCAGTGATGGAGCCTGAATTTAAAACTGACAATTGTCTGACCTCAGAACCTGGTTGCCCTAACTGTACGCGCCCTGCCTTTCGATGTAGTTCATCTGACATTTCCTCTGTACCAAACATGGGCACAGAGTCAAGACATTTAACGGTCTGTACGCAGAGTAAGCAGTGGGGAGGCACCGACCTCACACAGGCCTCTTAGCTTACCTCTCAGGTAGCTGTAAGGCCCTGGGTTGCCGCTTAGCCCCACTCACAGGCCTCCCTGATCCCCGCTGCCGAGGCTACTGCTTGTTGTGCTGCTTCAGTCTCACTTCCAGCCAAAACTGAGCGATTGGTCTCAGTTCTCTTGGTCACTAGAAAAACTAGGTCTTTTCTTGCTGGGTTACAAATTAATCCCTGCAGTTATACATCCAAGTAGTTGGTTCACAATCACGTACACCCCCGCCTGGTGGTGTTCCTAGAAGCACTCTTTTATTCAAATCATTTAGCAAATGCAACGGTACCAAAAAGTCCAGAAAGGGAAGCGAAGTGAGGGCAGCTCAGGCTATCGCCTCTTAACGAGGAGAGCAGGCCCGAGTGTGGCAGATACTACCTTCTGATGATGCAGGTATAGACTCCAGAATCCTCAACCTTGGCCGGGAGCAGCTTAAGACGTTCCCTTGCAGCAAACACACGATTGCCTTTCTGGGTGGTAACACTTTTGTTCGTCCCTGAGAAATACCAGTCCACAGGGTATCGAGATCTTTCTTGTCTAGGACATCTCACAATTAAAGCCTCATTTTCCAGGCCAAAGGATGATTTTCCTGAAAATAACAAATATGACTATGATTCTGAAATGACCGTGTAAAGGTTACACTTCTCACATTCTAGGATAGATCCTTCTAGGACTAAACTGAGAACGGGGCCGCACTTGGTGATACTTTACCTGAGTGAGTGAGCTCTTTTACAAAATGCTCTGATGGGCACCAGGTCAGTGAGTCAATTTGGAGCTAAATCCCCCAAACGGCCCCAGTGGAAAAACAGCCATGTCTATCTCCACAAAGTGCATTGTCAGTTGACAAATGCTTATAGTACCTCCCACATGCAGACACTCTGTCAAATTTTGACACATTTGAATATGTAAAACTAAAATTATGGAATTCATTTTCATAGCTTTGTGATAAAGAATGACTATCGAGCATAAGTAAATTTCCCAGGTCACAGCATGGCTGGAACCACTGTAAGCCAGCAGTTTAAAACAAGGCAAAGCTGCCCTGGCCGGCACTGCTCAGTGGTTTGAGAGTCAGCCTGTGGACCAAAGGGTCACGGGTTCGATTCCGGTCAAGGGCAGGCGAGCGGGTGTGGGAGGCAACCAGACACATCGATGTCTCTCTCTCTCTCTGTCTCCTTCCTTCCCTCCCTTCCACTCTCTCTAAAAAATCAATGGAAAACATATCCTTGGGTGAAGATTAACAAAAATAAATAATAAATAAAACAAGGCAAATGTTCTTGATATTACTTAATTTAAAAAATTTTAAATTATAGTTGAAAATCAATACTTACTAAACGCAGCTGCTGTGAAATGTATAAGAACTGTTAGAATTGCCAAGACCAGAAGTCTCATTCTCAGTTTATCAGCCCAGAGCAAGCGTTGGTAACTGATTGTTGAGGCTATTCAGGCTGAATCTGTGACATAGGATGGTAACAGTCTCCGAGGAGGTGGATGGTGCTACTTAAGATTTCTCGTTGGGAAGAGTTGTCAGTGCACCTGCTGAAAAATAAATCATACAAATCATGAGCAAAATACGTACAACCAAGAATTGTCCTGGCTTAGTAACACAGGAGAATTAACACACAGCAGGTGTGCACAGCATGAGCACTTCTAAGAGCAGGTTTCAGGGTCCCCGCAGCGTCTGCTCCTCCTGAGCCACGGGCCACAGGGAGCGGCCTCGCATGGTCATGCTGTTTCTCGGTCTGACGACTGTGGACTGAAAGAAGCTAAATTAAGAGGAAAGAAAATGAATTTCCATTTTTGAAAAAATTAAAACCATAAAATTTGACAGATCCTGGAAAATAAAATATTATAAATGCTGATATAAAATGACAGCCTCCGTACAGGCTGGCAGCCTGGGAGCGCGCGTGACCACGCTCACCCACACGTGCAAACCGCCATGGAAAAGCACTCAGCGACGCAGGCGAGCGAGGGCAAAGCGATGGCCACACGGTTGCCCGGGCCCCTGCACCAGCCCCTCGGACACCCAGGGCTCGCCACAGGCTGGCTGCATGTACCTGGAAGCCTGTGCAGAACCCTTACTTACTCTTCCTTTGTCTTTCAGCAAAAGAATCACTTAACTGTATCTTTTTCTTTACAAGTCAGCAGAGGGACAAATATAGAATTTGACAAATATAAGAATAAACACAAGTTCTATGAAAGCACACTTCCTCTAAACATGGATTGTTGATACTTTTTTATTAAATGCACGGGAAAGTTTTATTACAAGCTTTAGATAAGTAACTAACGCTCACCCAAACCGAAGGCAGGCGGAGGAACCCCAGGCCAAGGCCCGCGCTCAGAGTGGCTTCTGGTTCTGCGGCTCTGTCCTTGCACACTCCTCACGTGCCAGATCTCTCTCTTTTATTTTGAGGGAAGACACTCAGAGGCATCCTCAAGTTACCACTCCACCCACCCTGAACATTGATTTTGTGCCAAAATTCATGACTATTCAAAAATGCTGGTGCATCATGTTCTAAGAATTCTTAACCTTGGTACATAAATATTTAAACCTAAGGACAACATTCCTTTAGGGGAAGTAATCAAATGACTCCCTCTACTTTAACATCAGTTTCTCAAACTAGATAATGCTTTCTGTTTGTCACCCTGATATTATTACCATTTCGGCTCTAATAAACTTGACATGTGAGGGCCTTGACACTGCCCTTCCAGAGAGTCCTTGTTGCTTTGTGTACAGATGCGGGCCACGGGCTCAGCTAGTCTTGGCAGATTCGGCTCCTGCCCTTTCAAAAGCAGCCTCTGGGGACAAGCCAGGAGAAGCAAGAAGCCTCGAAGGGGGCCTGGAAATGCTTGTTTACGGTTCAGCATGTGATGTAATCTCATCCCAAACAGATTCCTGCTCCTCGGAGTTAAGTCCCTGTGGGCTTTGCGCAGAGTTCAGGGAACTCGTGGGGGCTGTGAGTAAGAAGCCACCTCAAGGGGCGCAACAGGAAGGCCGTGACTCTTACTAAAACATGTAAAACAGATGTTAATTGCAAATTTGATTTTGGCTCTGCGTAGCTCGTATGACTCTATTACAAATAAATTCAACTTGATTTTGAAACTCATCACATCCCAGAAGGATTCAGGGACTAATTTCAGACCAGCACAGTATTAGTAATAATAATAGCCAAGCTTTTTCTAAAGCTCCCTCTGTGCCAGATACGGCTCTAAGTGACTAAGACGTGTCAACTACACCCTCATGACGACCCAGTGAGGCAGATGCTGTTATTACCCCCCCACTTTACAGATGAGAACGCTAAGGCCCAGAGAGGCTGAGTGACTTGTCCCAGTCCCAGGCCTCTAAGAGGCAGAGGCAGGATTTGAACCAAAGCGGCCTGGCTCCAGTGGTGGGTGCCTCGCTGCTGAGTCAGCGCCACCAGGCCAGGAAGGGCAGGAGGGAGGGCACCGCAATGGAAGAGTCCTGAGTGGGTTTTTGGTGTTTCCGACGGCACCTCCCCTCCCCCACGCCCATCCCACGGCAGCCAGCAATGGTCCTCAGCAGGCCTCCCCCTCACGGGGTTGATCAGAGTTTGGACACAGGTCACGGGCTCTAACAGAAAAGATACAGTCTTCTCACTACTGGACGACTGACGATGAGAGATGTTTGGCATAAATCTGGAAAATTAGGCCCACTCGTCAATCTCAAGTTAGTTATCAAAGTTTTTATTATCAAGATCCTATGAGTTTTGGCCCTGAGACCACAGAATCAGGAGCACGTGTGCTTGGAAAGGTGTCTGAGGCACTGGGAGCTCCAGACAACGTTTTGTTAAATAAAATGATAAAATTCTGAACATTTTTATACTTGAATATGAACTTATATTTTGTATCCTAAAACATTTTTTAAATGTTATTTATGCATTTATTCATTAAACTAGGCCACATTTACATTGCTTTCTTAGTTTTAAATTAGTTTTCTTAGTTTAAAATGAGTTTCAGTTAGAATTTTAACATAATAACCATGAAATCTTACAGAAGCATTTAATAGTCTATTATTATAAAGTAATTCAGTCCTCTGTTCAACAGTTAAGTCTTGTCACTCAAAGTACAACACTCTGCGGCACTCATCAACACCATTATACTTTTACAGATGAAAATAAAAACCCAAGGATGAGACTGATCCAATAGTTTGACCAAGTTCACCCAGTTGTGGCTGTGGCTGAAACCAAACTTGTTGAACCTCAAAGCCAAGTTCTTGTTTTGTGTTTCTAATATTAACTTAAAAACAGAGAGACTGGAGCAGCAAAGCTTTTCTTCTTGTATTAAACAAAATAAACTAGTCTAATTTCCCTTAAGCCTCTCCTTTATAAAGAACTAAACCAGCCCTGGCGGGGTGGCCGAGTTAGAGCACTGGCCGTGCATGGCAGGGTCTCGGGTTCAGCTCCCCGTCAAGAGCACGTATGCACTTGGATTGTGGGTTCGCTCTCTGCCCCTGGTCCGAGCTCGTGCAGGAGGCAACCAACCGAAGTTTCTCTCTCTCCCCCCCTCCCTCCCTTCCACTCTGTCTCGGAAAAAGTGATGGAAAAAATATCCTCAGGTGCGGATTAATAAAAACAAAAACGAACTAAACCATTTTGGCTTCTAACTACTATGACACCATCCAATACCGAAGTATAGTAGCTTATAGTAACTTAACAAGACAAAATGTGAACTTTTAATAAATTAAAAAAACAAACAGATTTCAAGCAGCCTTGAATTTCTGCCAAGTTAGTCAGAAATCCCCCATCCTCTGCTCCTTTCTGAAAGAACCCCCTTTCCAGGGTTTCTCAGAACTGCTCTCCATACTCAATATTAATTTGGCCATATTTTTTTCTGGTTTGGAGGTTACAGTTTTGAAATATTGCATGTCCTTATTTATGATCGAATTCTCTGTTATTTTCACTAAAAGACAAAAAGACAAAACAAACAAACAAAAACCCCCTTTATTGCCAGAGTAGCAGCGAGCTGCTTCCGTCTGGAATGTGCACCCAACGTTCAGTAACATCGAGGGTATCCTGGGGGCCTTCTATATCTGTCTCGCCTGGTTTCGTAGCTAAATAAAAACGAGAATGTCACATACTCCAGAGCTGGCTGGCTGTGGCCGCACTTACTGCAAAACACGTCAGAACTCAGGAAGCTTTTGTCATGTTAAACACAGGAACCTAAGTGGGTCAGCTTCTCAGTGATTCTTACAAGAATAAGGGGACATTTTTTCTCCATTTCATTAGAGAGCATCGGAGCTGCCACTTTCCCTCTTTTTTCCTGATGAAATGTTTGCGAGCCTGCGATGGTCAACAGAGCAGATCCTGCGTGTGGTGCCAGTGGCCTGGCCTGTGCCTGGGGGGAAGGCCCTGGGCCCAGCTCCATTCCCCGTGTCACCATGGGCAAAGGACTGATTTTTTGGTTTTTCTTCGCCACCCTCCCTCCAGACTCTAGGCGAGCTCAGCGCTCAGCTCCTTCCCTCCACCCTCCTTTGGGCCTCACCAATGTTTCCCTCCAGAAACTAGAAGAAACTGCACATTCAGGAGGATTTGGACTTGACCAGGGCTTGCGTGCCCGCTCCCCGCCCTCTCCCCCAGGGCAGCTGCCCCCAGTCCTTCCCTCGGTGAGGCCCAGCCCTCCACGCGGCCCACACTCCTCCTCTCGTAGCCCACGTGCACCCCACTGGGAAATCCTGTGGGTTCACCTTCAAGACACATCCCACCTGCAGCTGCTTCTCTCAGCCGCCACTGCCACCTTTCTTGCGGGAGCCACCATCATCTCAGCAGCTTCTCAGTTTCTACTGGAGCTTCTCCAGACTCTTGCTAACGCAGGGGCTCCAGGTACCCCTTAAAATCCAGGTCAGATCATAGAGGCCTCCGATGTCCTTCCACCCCACCCAAAGGAGGCGCCAGCACCTCACAGCCTCCTCAAGGGCCCTGAAACCTAAGATCTCTCTGACTCTCCTCCCCAGTTCCACGTCCTCCTTGCCAACCCTTAAATGCTCCAGACGACTGCGCCCCTGCACTGACTTGCCCTCCGCCTGGGCAGCGCCTCCCAGTTCCCCGCAAGGAGACCCCTCACCTCCGCCAGGCCGGGGCCCCGACTGTATCTTTTCAATGAGCTTCACCTGGCTGCACAAGGTTATTTTATTTTCTTTTTTTGCTTCTGATTTTTTTATTGAGGTGAAAAATTCACATAACATAAAATTAACCATTTTAAAGTGACAATTCAGTGACATTTAGTCCATTCGCGATGTTGTGAAATTGCCACGTCTACCTAGTTCCAAAACGTTTTCACCCTCCCATATAAAAGCACAGGCCGGTCAGCAGTCACTCCCCCACCTCTCCCCTCCCTTACCCAGCACCTCGATGGCTTTGCCTATTTTGAGAATCCCATAGAAATGGAATCACACAGTGACTACCTTTTGCATCTGCTTTCCTTCATCTAACATGCTGTTTTCAAGGCTCATTCATGTT